ACTCGTCATCTCTCGTCGTTCTAATGAATTTGTTTGAACAAAAAGTACGTATAATATACAGAATATTTCTTAGTGCAGACTTCTGGTACCTATAGTAATTTTAATGACTAATTATTCCCCATACTGTTAAGGTTTAGGACTTGTGGAAATTCATTATTATGTTTTCGATTTAGTCACGTAATAATTTGATGTCGAACTCGACAAGTTTCAAACCATGCTAGAGGCTCGTATGCATGAGCAGCATTCCACGACCAATTGAGGAAATTCAGTATTTCTACCTTGGTGTACTATTTATTCAATGAAAAAATTTTAGACACGTATTTAAAAAAACAATACTTAGAGAAAAGTTTAGGAGTGGAAGCTACTTACGTCACCGCTCCCTATAAAATATAGTAAGTCTTGGCGTCCCATGACATTTGAAATCAATACATCGTCAAAAGTATTTTTTAATATATAAGAAATGAAAACATACGTGTCTAATGTTGTAAATTAGTCTACCAGATGGACATTATATTAACATTAATATATAAGTAGTCCCTATCGTATAGTATGTGGGATTTAAGTATGTATTTACGTTTCTCGGAAATTGCAGCTATTAAACTTTAGCGTGTGATTGTACTTAGATACATTTACGAGAACCAATTATAATGTTATAATGTAGATTTAAAGGAAAGCAAAATATATTATCGAGGACAGCTGAGTACAGTTAGTGACAAAAGGTGTAAGTCGCAGTAAATATAACTAAAACCTATTTCATTTTTATTTTTAAAATTAATTAGCATTCTTATTAGTACCAAGAGTATTTCGTTTACTCAATTTTTTAATGTTTAAACGATTTTTTGGTTAGCACATATATCAATACCAATCTCCCCAATCCCCGAATTCCCAGCGATCCTCAAATACCTAAAGCCAGTAACGCACTCTTGTAACGCTTCTGGTGTTAGGTGACCATGAGCGGCGCCGATTGCTTACCATCAGGTGATCCGTCTGCTCGTTTACTGGCGTATCCCATAAAAAACCAAAACTATAGATTGTCTATCAGAGATCTTTTTCAATATGTTTCAGTACAATTTATTTATAAATAGTTCACAATGTTGAAGCCTCTATAGAGGTAGAGTGACAGTTTGACCGCGTTCAGTACCTTATAGTTGTTCAGCAAAACTTCTGTTAGTTACAAGAACTTACTGTATTTCCTATTAATTACATTGTCATGTGAAACTAGACCAATGACCGTTCATTAACATGCAGTCCAGTTACATCATATTGGAAATTGTTTTGAGGTCTTACATTCCTAGTCAGAGTCATTATGTATTGTTTACTTAACTCAGTCCTTCTCGGAAGTTTTCGGAAGAGAATTGTGGATTGATGTGTAGTCTAAGTCCGGGGCTACTGGGTACTCGAATAGGGATCTTCTTAGTCAATAAGAGTCTGACACCTCCTGTCGTGTCACTAAGCATTTACTTCCATGATTATACTGTAACCATCATTTTCAAGTAGTCGTTTTTTTTTGAGGGGGGAAAATCATCCAATGACTTCTCCCGCCCGGGTGAGGCTCCAGGGAGTGTCAGACTCTTACTGACTAAAAACCACCCCGTTCCTACTCCTGCACTTCGAGCCGGAGCCCCGGCAACCCGATAAGTCTTCAGCGGCTCCGTATCGGCATCAGCCCTGTTAAGCCCCATCTGTGGTGGTCTGATGGCTCCTTGAGACGCGCCGTACGCTCGGGCCTGGTTCTGGTCGGGCGGCGAGTCACCCGTGCTCGCCGTCCGCAGAATTTTCAAGTAGTCTGTTTTATGTAATTTATTTTATGTAACCTTTTACAGTACCTCTTCATTCACTTTTTTCTTCGTAAAAAAAGGAATAATGATGTTTTATCCTTTTTCTTATTAAATTGGGTAATTCAATAGAGATGAATGTGAATGTAGGAGGCAAACCTACATACGATTTTATTTATACACTTCAAGTTCTTTGATGTAGTATGTAGGTGGTACTTTGCAATGCTATTTTGAAATCATAAGTGCCTCTATACGAATATTATTTTGGTTAATACATGTCAACATGTTGCATGACTGTCAACAGTATAGTAAGTTGCCTTCGTTTTACTCTTTAACTACATTTTGCTTGTTTGATTTTAAACAGTAAATCAAGTTACAAAGTTTTCACTTCACTTCTATTCAGGGTTTAAGAGCATCATTTCAAAAAATGGCTGACAATTGCAGTTGTGTCATGTATGTATTAAGAGAAGGGGTTTTCCAAAAAATAAAACGTTCATAATATAGTTGAATTATTTTTTATTTAACAGTTTTTTATAACTTTTAGTCACAGGAATTACGTTTTAAAATTAAAACCGTTGCCGATATATTGCCAAATGTTATTGTGGACTAAGAACTCTATAAGTATAATTAAAAATTGATTATGATTGACACTACTTTTAATGAAGAACATTATTGTTTCAGCTACTAGTATATTTATATATTATGTTGATTATTTATTATAATGTAATTTAAATCTATACAAGGAACTAAAAGTGCGTTAACTCAGCCGGAATTTAACTTAACAAGTAATGCTTAGAACTACTTAAAAGACAGTAGGAATATTGTATAATGTAACTTCTAAACAAAATGTTTAACTGCAAATCATTGAAGATTTTATATTAAATAATATTTTGCCGGCTAATAAATTTATCTATGACTATGCTAGGCTAGGTAATAATTATTATAACTATGGAAAAACATTCACATTCAGTTTATGTCACCTAACTACAGACTATAACTTAAACTAAATTAAATATAAATTGTCAATAAATAAATAGTAATATATTATTAAACGAACTTTTTCTGTCGATTCAAGGAACCGAGTTACAGAACCATAATTAATAAAAAATAACAGAAAACTAACATCAGTATGATTTAAACAAGGTTAGTTTTCTAACATCTTATAGTCTATACACTTATTTATTTTTACAGCAATTTCAAAACGACAGTCGATTCGATATTTTCCGATTATTTATTCATAATTTCAATACACTGATTCAGTGGCGTGTATGATCCAATACAAGTCTTTAGTCATTCAAATATAAGTACATCAAAAAGGATAAAACGTTAAATTAACAGTTATAATAACTATGGTGCTAGGGACTATGAATCGTTAGAAAAATATTTACATCGCTCCATACATTACGATAATAATTTATGTATAGTGTAGTCATGTTTATTTACAAACCAAAATAGATTTCATAGTGCGACTATTTTTTTAAAGAATGGTGTAACAAAATATTAATTATTTTATTGAAACTCACTAATAAATGCGAGTACCTGGGAATCTTCAGTGGTTAATGCAATTTCGTATTTGTTGACTCGCAGCCAATATGCAGGAAAAAGAGCATTTTTCAATATTCCCAATACAATAAACTTAGTGGAATGATTGAACAATTCATTTCTGATGAAATAAGCAATGCAGCTCATTTGATTGGACGCAAGTGTCCTTTGATTAAGTAAACACAACATATTTTTAGTTCATCACTTACAAAAATATTCCATCTTTGTTTGGTATACTATTTTTAAGATATTTACACCAAATACAATTTCCTGATTATTATTCAACTTCTATTACTTACAATGTCGATATACAATAATTTAACAATACACTGCACAGGAAACATATTGTTAGTTACGTTTGTATGTAGAAAAATAACGTCTATTCACAGTATTTTTCACTTCTGGCTATAACAGTATTTCACTAACACACTGATTCATCAATTTATTGACACCGCTCATAAGAGTTGCTATATACCTGCACGTCCATGCCTGGAAACTGCTTGTTCGGGAATTTGCCCATGAAACATTTGTGAGATTTGTTCGCAAACAGATTGTTGAGGTTCAACAAACGCTGAGGGCTGGGGGGTTAAGCCATAAAGAGGTTGATGACTTTGCGCATCAGAAAATTGTGGGCCTTGATACGGCAAAGAATTACCTGCACAAGGGTCTTGAAAAATTTGACTAAAATCAGTCTGGGTGGGTAAAGAAGTATTTGCCAATTGAGCTCGTAAATAATCTTGTCTGATTGCGATGGCTTCAGAGCTTGGTTCGTACACAGGATTGTAAGCATGTAAATCAAAATCAGATTGTACTTGATGGTATGGATAATGAATTTGCTGGTATTGAATAGGACGTTGGTTTACCAACCCAAACCTTCGATTTACTACACCTTGCCTATAGGAAACGTTTTCAGAAAATTGCTCATACATAGGTCTTTGTGGATTGGTTTGACCAAAAGTAGGTTCTTGTGGTGTCGGATTTACCTCTATAATAGGCTGCGATCTCATCTGTTCAAATCCGAAATTTACAGTAGATTGTCTTGACAAATTGTCAGGAGTTCGCTCATATGATCCAAGTTGGGGATAACGATACTGTTGAACTACATTTTGGGGACGTTGGTTCTCGAATGAAAATTGTGAAGGTGGAACTTGGTTTGCTGGCCTAACATGAAACTGTTGCTGCCATGGAGTTTGATTTATACGTGAGAAATATTCATTAGCTTGCCCAATCATCGCTGATTCAGGATTGGGATGCGAAGAACTTGGAGAAGAACTAAACATTTTAAAATTGTCAAAATAGTGAGGACTTTGCTCATTGTAATTACCCTGATAACTTTGAAGATCATTCTGTCGAATTGGACATGGCATTGTTTGCTCCTGAGTGGGTTGCATAAAGTTTTGCCAAGTAGGGTTACGATTAACGAGATCCCCAAAAGTGGGAGTATTTACGAGTAAATTTGGTATTGCAAAAGAAGTTGGACTATACTTATGAGGTTCTACTTTTGATCCCATTTCATCAAATTGCTCGTATTTCTGATACTGTAATATTTCTGGAGGACACGGATTTGGAATAAATTGTTGATGGGAATAAATTCGACGAACAAGTAGTTCTGATACATGTCTGTTTCGATTGTCTATTGTTTTTGTTCTCTGTTTTGATTGTTGTTGTCGTGATAAAGTTTGCCTTGTAGGAGGCAGCTGGCACACCCCTCCGCATAGTGCGGCTTGGCGTACCACACGGATTAAGGTTTATGGCGCTCATAAGGCGCTTAATGAAGGCTAGGGGCAATCCATGGAGTTCGGGCTCGGTGGGCCTCCCATTACGCTGTAGGGTGGGCTGTGAGGTGGCAACGACTGAATCGACCCCATTTGACCATGGTATAGGTCCATATCGAGAGAAGCATCTGGGGAGCATTTGTCGGAGAGCTTGCTCTCCTGCTTTGTCACCATCCTCCTCCACTTGGCCCGGGCATTCTGGAACCAAACCTGGGAACAAAAATATGACCATTGGTATGTGGAAGTATAAAAAACAACGCTAGCAAGCGCGCAGCTTCGCAAAACAAATATATTGCAGAGAAAAACCCTCAGCACAATCCAAATTTTGTGGCAATCTTGGCTTCCGTCCGACTGCATTGCACGCGGAAGCTGGATTCCTGACCGTCCTGTTTTTGTGGCACGTGATTGCGTTCTTGCCCACCGTTGAGCATTCCGAAGAGCAGATATAATCTGTAATTAGCAAGTTCTTTGGCCAATGCGTGACTGTCTCAGCCGTCGCGTCGCAGCCACAACATTCTGATGCGTTGTTACTGGTACCTATTTAATATGCTTACGACGGAAAAACTAATGAGGCACAGTTTATGACGGTCATATTCGGTATCTAGACAATTTGGCCAACTTTATTCAAAGTTGTATAACGTTCACATTGAGGATTCAGCAAAGTCGGCGCAAGAGTGCGCGAATCTAGTGACCAATCACGCGCGGCCGCGCATTGGCCCCGCCCCCCACGTCATGGCGGCCGATGTTGCCTTACGCCAAATTTAGATGCCCGTTCTTTCTTGGCCCTGAAGTGGCGATCGACTGGTGATTGTCCGGAAAAAGCAAAAAGTTCAATAACTTTGTGATTATAACCTACATGGATATATTACATATAATTAAGTACAAATTATTTAAGAAATGGATTGATAGTGTAATTTGACATTATAGGTAGGAATATTGCATTCAAATTTCCAAAATCCGTTATTTTAATTAAATATTTAGTCATTTGATTCGATTGGGTACCAATACATGGTAAGATAGTTATGTTTAAAGTACACAAATATTATGTTGATAAATAAATAATTTTGTGAACTAAAATAATCATTAGATAAATTAGTACAAATACAAATGATTTTTCACGAGTTCACGACCGGCCACTAACTTCTGTTGTGACTAATCGTCGAGTCCGCCCGAGACCTGCCCCTCGAATAGTGATGTGACTCGGTAACGAAACAGAGAAGATCTTTTTTAAGTAATTATATACAATACATAGGTACCAAATGAAGAATTCTTTGGCTCTAAGAAATAAGAAATTAAAAAAAATAATCCTTTTTTAATTTCTTATAGGCAAAGCCAATTTTCCACTAGTCATTATTTAAGAAATTAATGTCATACTAATTAACCAAGCAATTACTGATCATTTTGGTTTAAGTAATTAAAGAGGATTTGTTTTGTCATGAATTAGATGAATAATTTGCAGATCCATTTAACTAAGTGAATAGGGCATGCCAGTTGGCAAAGGAACCGCCTTAAGAAATTTGTTTTGTACTCATTTGTCTCATCATAAGAGCAATCAATTAAAGATTCGACTAATCGTCTCAATTATATTATGAGTCATTTAATATTGTTAAATACGTTGTTCTTTAGATCTAATCATAACAATTAAATTGCAATTTTGGTTATGAAATTGGATGATTTAAATTCTACCCCAAGCAAAAACGATTTTATGCGCCATATTTACTTTACTTTTCAAGTATGAAATCATAAAGATTATAAGTTAAAACGAGTAACTTACTACAAAAATAAAATACTACCGGTTATTAACAATCGATATTATTTAGTCGACATTGTCCAACACTAGTTTAAAGAATGAGCTGGGAGGATTGATGACTGCGCGTTGTCACGAAGAGATAAAGCCATCTAGGTGGTCCGTAGAAAGTAGAAACATGCTCAACCGCGAATGACAATGTTCTATAATGTACCATTGACACTTCAATCTATTCTGGCTACCGGTCTATTAGCTACAGATCTAGTTGCACAACTAGATGTTCCAAGACTTTCGCTTATATTAATAATGCCCCTTTCTCAATGCATTAAGTTTCGGTTTACTTTACTCCAAATAAATTGGTTAGTATATCTACAATAGTCTTCATGTGTCATGTGTCATGTGTGTGCCATTTTGTTATTCGTTTTAGGTATTCATTTCAAATATTTGCCTCTGCCATTAAATTCAAATGAACAACGACTTCGAAGAAGTGATATAATATTTTGCTAAAAGCATGGACTTTGAATATATTTTCCACATATTTTCTTTAAACGAGTCTCGTTTATCTAATAGAAGTTTGCATACAAAAGACCCTATTCGACTACTGATTGGTGCATGAGTGGATACAAGTGGAACAATTTAGAAGAAGGAACGCAAGAGTATGTGCACAATGTAACAATGTAGGGAAACAACGGGCACGGTAACTAGCAGAAAAAAATTGTCACCAGCTGGGAAAACGACTTCAATCCATTTGATAGATTTTCAACTATATTTGTTTTGAAATAACGTCGAAAATCTGCTGAAGATATTAGAAAAAATGGTGTAGGTTGATGCGCCAGCGTCTATACACTCTCTATCACGTACGTACGAGGCAAAGGCCAAAACACGACACGCTATTCTCGCTCACATTTCGAATAAATAAGCACTACTTCGGACACATCATTAGTTATACCGTCACGCACGACTGCCAAACGAAAATAACTTTTACCCACCAGCACACAAGACTCAATACGTTTCACCCAACAACGCTTTAAGACAATTGAAAATATTCATGCGAGTAATTTTTCAGCGGTTGAGTGTTAACGATGTATATTTTTTTATTTATTTAAGCGCGTATTTCGATTTTTTTGCTCAATGATGCGAATGATTTATGGTCAATGAAAAATTGGATTGTCAGATTTTTTAGATATATCGATGTCGAAACTGAGATTGAGATGTTTTTCGTGAATAATCTGTTCTTGTTGAAGTTTTTAGTGAACGAGAGAAATTATGTTGTAAAGTATGAAGTAATGTTTTTGCATGCAATATTCTACGTTGGATTTCAAGTCTGAAGTGACGTCGCGTCGGGGGAGCGCAGTCAACGAGTGGGACTTAAAACGATGTGCACAAAGTATCTTTGCTTTCGTTACAAACCTGAAGGGTACACTTTCGAATATTTTCATCACAACGAAAAACGGATATTTACGTGCAAAATCTGAATACATATTTATTTTAATAAAATACATTCTAGATTGCGACGTTGTTTGTGCAATAAATCCCGAATAATACCAGAGGAATGCACACACCCAATTGCACTTTAGCAAACAAGTCAGTTATGAAAAATGTACAAATCAGAAAGGCAATCGAAAGAGTTAGACATCGGGTGGCTTGGTCAAAAAAAGATAAAATGTTTCAAAGCGAATACTCTTTGCATTTTAGAGTTATTCATCTAGTGAGAGAAGAGGTTACAAATATATTATGTGTGTGGTAGCTAAATGCTAGGGAATACAACAGTGGAACTATTTGTCATTCAGATACGATCTACCGTCGGTACAGTAGCTGCTGCCAGACATTGACTGAATGATCTTGAACAGTATTTATAACCCGTGTTTGTACCTACTGTTGTTGAAGTTATGTTAAATAATATCAGAATGTGTTGAATCTGTATGCTTTAACGATGATCGAAGATTTCGTCCGCCAGTCGTGACATGAGTGAGAGCTTTTATTTGAAATCTACGCTTAGATCTAGCCTCTTGGTATAGCGAATACTGTTTTGTTTAGGAATGTCTTGCTACAATGGTCATTATTCTTAGTATAAACTGTACATTTAAGTTAATCTTGATTGAGTTTTTTTTTAATTGCTACTAATTTTGTAGTGTCCCGCCTTATCCTAACCAAATACTAATTGCTTTTAAAACTAACCAACGACATAGAGACGCATAAGTCTTTCACCGCTAAACACGAAGACCGAGTTCACACAACACATTAGAAAATAATCGAACAACATAATCGCCAACAAAAAGAAAGAAACAAAGTTTCCAAAAGTCAACAGTAAAACAATTACGACAAACGCGCTCCACCCTATCGGTGTTTGATGTCTCATTCTGCGTCACAGCCCATTACTCTAACCACTGTGCAATGACACCGATGCTTGCAAATTGCCCCCTCGTACCCTAGAACAAATGAGACGAAATTGCGGGCATTAAGCACCGGTTCACACGACACCACGCTTCAATACACGGGCAAATGCAATTAATCGATGTTTGTGTTATTTTCATTTTTTGGTTAACGAACGAGTTGTGTTGATGATTTTCGTCACGTTTCCGACTTTGTTTTGCGAAAAATGTGATCTATACTTTATTAGACAAAAAGTATGTCTCCACTAACATGGATTTAGACATACCCAGTCTCTTATATTCACTGTTTAACAGTTAATTAAGATCACTAATAATAATTATGCTTGCTATTTTAGACTAAAGTTGCCGGCAACAGTTTAACACAACTGAGAATTTGCCCCGTCTGATCTGAAACTTTAGATGACTGATTGCGCACGTTTCATGGGCCAACACTACACATGTAATTGAATGGCAAACGCAAATTAAGTCATTTTGTCACGTCACTGTAACAGAGCGATTGTAATAAAATTGTTTTAATATTAATGATCGTAATATGTCTTCTGAATTCTAAACCAGATGTGGGATACTGTAGTTACTATTATTTCCACTTCGAACAATTCTAATGCGTTCCAAACGAACTCCAGCTGATTGACCGCACGCAAAAATAACCTCTGGTACAGTACCCATGCTATGTCAACTATGTGTTTGTAAATACCTGTTCCTATTTCAGTCCAATACCGAGATATATAAAGCTTTAATACATACTATGTGTATACATCGCCGCAGCGGCCCGGTTCCGCTTTTTAGACCGCAAATGGGAACCGCCCCTCACTCATTTGTCTACTATCTTATTACCACATCTACAAGTGTTAATTTTTAATTTATGAGCCAACGTTCAATTAAAACTGCGTAGAAGAAAGCCCTAATGGCGACGCCAATAGCACTTGAGTGTAACAAGTATTTAAAAACCATTAAAAGGTGTTAATTTTACGTGAAAGGTTGCAATTACAAAAAAGTGTTTAATAAGTCTAATACAAATATGAAACTTTATAACACATACAAATTAACATGTTTGTTGCCAAACAAATTAG